ACTATTAAAGGAATATCTTATGTTATCTTATCTTAACTGCTATAACAGTACGCAGTGTATACTTTATAGGATCAGTGTTTCATGTTATTGGGACACAGTTTCACTTCTGAAGCATTACCCATCATTACTTAGAGCTGAATGACTGAACTCACACAACATTTTAATTGATGGAAAATTAAATCTGACATACGAGTCCAAAGAAAACCAAACATGCTAATGTTTAAAACAACCACCAGATGGATTATTTCCAGCAGATTTCATATGACACACACTGAAACACACACAGCAGATAATGTTTTTCTGATACACACTACTGCCAAACATGAAGGACACTCGTTCATGCATTTATGTCGTTTACAGTAATATACTGTAAATCTTTTCATATTCAGATGAATATGAAAGATAAAGAGGGCCAGCAGAGGTGGAAAACATAGGTGGATACCATAGTAGACTATGAGTTTAACATTAAAATGTTTCCTAAAGAAAAAGTAAAGAAGTAATAGCACTAAAGAGGACTGAAGTATCAAGTAAAAGTACTAATTTTGTGTTAATGTGTATGTATTTTAAGTAAGTACTCCATATAATTTTGGTTAGTTTAGCATAATTTTATGAACTCTTAAGTAATGTTTTGCAAAATTCTTTATTAATGAAGTAACTACAGCTGGAACTACAGGTATGTAATGCCTGCTGATATGTTGTGAAGGAAAAGTAGAAAGTCTTACACAGTTTACTCTTACAAAGTAGTGGTACTTCAAAAGCACTTAAATAGATTTTATACTTTTATACTTTCCACTTCTGGGGACCAAATGATGTTAATAATAACTATTATCTTGGATTTTCAGCCTGTGAGTTATTGTTGCAGCTACCTGAAGAAACAAATGCTCAGCGCACTCAATATGCTGTTACAGTTACATTGAAGCTTTAGGTCAACACATGAATTTATGTTGGACACAACTTCACTCCACACCAAAATCACCAGCGACAAATCTCTAAAAACCGACGTATGCTTCATGCTCATTAAATACTGGGAAATGTGACGGTACTAACTTTGCAGCTGTGTTTGCGATAACCTGAAATACACCAGAAAGGACAGACAGAGGGAGAGAGAGAGAAGGAGAGAATGTAATGAATCACCAGAGGTATTTTGGTGATAACAATGGCACCCTGTGTGTTTGTAGGAAACTATCCAGCTACAGTGCTATGCTGTAATCCCATGTACAGGTTAGAATAGCAACTGTTTGTCATCACTGGGATATTTCCCAGCTTCCCCTGCATCATCAGGAGTGACTGACAAGAGCAGAAGCGTCTCAATCACATGACACAGGACGGGGACACATTTAGAACAGAACGGCCACAAATAAACACAACTACACAAACACAACACCTGATCCACTTATGTCAGGACTGCAGCCGAATAGAGGAACCTGAGCTGTAGGTGGAAGTAGACAAGATAATGTATAATGTATTTTTTCTTATCAAGACATGTGTCCGGAAGTTCCCTTTGTACCAGTTATATCAATAATCGTCATTAAAATAACGTTTATAACAGTTGAGACGACGAGACATCTTTTTGTGGCCTGTGCTATTATCAGCTACATGTTTAAAAGCCATGAAATAAGAATTACTTTCATAAATCTCCATTACTTTTTAATAAACTTGTTTTGACCACATCAATGCAGACAAAGGGCCAACCAACGGCCCCTGAAGAACGAGTGATCTTCCCCTACGAGCCGGCGATAAGCCAATACCGTGCTGATTTCTTGCTAGCCCGATACTTAGTACATTTTCTGTCTGAAATTCCACTATCATGTGTTTAAGATTTGTATTAAATGATGCATTTCTTCTCATCACAATGCAAGGAATCATGGATTTTGATGATTTAACTCATAATTATCTACTGAAGCAGTACGTATATGTTATTTCATTCTCCAAGCCTCTGTCATAACCAGTTTCACTAAATAACTTCCACATTTAAACAAACTGCCTTCATCTTGGAGCTCGGCAATACATCAGTTATTTTGAATTTATGTTTCATAATTATGCAAAAAACAGCTGAATGTTAAAATGTGGGGATATACAGCTGCAAAGCACTCTGCTAAGCCTGCACTGAAGTCACTCATCAATAAAGAATTTGTAGAACCATTATTATCCCATATGAAAAGAAGAGATCCCAGTGATAAGACACTTAAGATGCGGTGGTGTTTGACATTGCCAAAGATATGGCTGATTAAAATCGTAAATTGGATGTGGTATGAAATTTTCTTTTCCGGCCATATTGACCAAAACTACTTCATCCCAAGCATCTCTTCTTTTACTGTCGGTGTAAATGTGTTCAGTTTTCACCATAGTGAAGGCGGTGGTACTTGAGACTGCAACACATAAATCAGCCAGCAGATTCGTCCTTACAGTACATGGATGAGTTCAGGCTACAGTAGGTTAAGTGGAAACGTGCTCGGTGGGCTCCTCACACGTGAGACATCTCCCTACAGAGACAGGGGGAGCCATCTCAGGTTTGGCAAAGGGGGCATCCAGGGGATACAGGATGATGGTGTGTAACCAGAGCGGAACATTCCACGGTCATGTACAACAGCTGCTCTCTACTGTGTGTGTGTCTGTGCGTGTGTATGCATGTGTGTGCCAGTGGGATCACAGTCTCCATGTACTCGGTGAGGTGGGGCCGCTGGCATGATACTGCCGTCATGGTCCTGCGATCTGCCTGGAGCACGTTTCCCGACACCTGACTTACCGTTGGCCTGTTGCTGTAAAGCAGCTGAGCACCAGAGGGGAAACATATTAGTGAGGACTGATACCTCGATGTGATATGTCAGAGGCCAAGCAGCCTTAATTAACATCTACAAGTATTCCATGACTGAGGCTTCACCCTAACTCACGCCATACCACTGAGGAGAGCCCCCTTAAACGGTGGCTACAACTTAACTCTCACCAAACTCTAGTCATTGCAACATACAGTGTAGTCAGGGCATCACAGGGTTGGCCCTACAGTCCCGGCAAAGATTACATAAAATCCTTTTTGAGAGACCCAAATGTCCAAATGTGTAATCCAAAAATTACCCTAGTGCAAATATAAAAGGTACAAAATGCAAAAAAGGATTTTAAAACTATGTAATCTGGTGATATTCTATATTTTTCCTATTGTCTATCAATAAATTGTTTGTGTAATCAAAGCCTGACATAGTTTATTCCTCCACGTTTCTTCATTACAATGACCACAAGCTCTGTAGTTTATTTTGAGTCAGTCCCTTCTGCGCCAAATGCGTATTATTCCGCGGCTGAAAATAGTATCCAAAAAATACACCACTTATCTTAGTTTCAGTAATGATCGCTAAAGACTACAGTGGCCAGCTGTTGTAAGAAATGACTGAGCCTTAAAAAACGTACCACTGGCGCCCTATCCAAAATGGATAAAGACACACTGGGTGCAGGCATCGTTTTCTATATAAGCCACTGCATGTGTGTATGATGTTTTCATAGTCTGTTAGTTGACGCGGTGCTCTTCAAGGAGGCACTTTTCCAGTTTCTACTTTTTGATTTTTTTTTATCAAAAGAACTTCCCCGCAAATCGCCAAAAGGCCAAATATACCAAAATAAAGTATGTTTGAATAAGGTTGTTATAGCCTTACAGAGCTGAACCAATAAGTTAAAGTAATCTTTTAAGCAGAAAAATTTCACTTTAAATGCAAGTATTTTGTGTGATTCTTAGTGTTTTATGTCTCAGTGGTTTTTGTACAGTTGGTTGGACAAAACTAAATATTTGAAGATGTTACGTTGGGCTCTAGGACATTATGTTGAGCATTTCTTACCATTTGCTGACATTCTATAGACCAAACTATTAATTAATTGCAGCCCTAGAATATAAACAAATTAAAAAATAAAGAAAAACAAAGGAACCTAAAAGAAAGTTTAAACCATTTAAAGGATCTCTAGTGGCTGAGGAAGTATCCCCCCGTTTGCTCACGCCGACACTGTCAAAGCAACAAGTCATCACCTTCCTGTAACCTCACCAGCAATTTTAAAACCACCAAAAAAAAGCTTCACAAGCAAATCTCTTGTTTTCCAGGCAAAACAGGATTCAAAACTCTGTTCTGGGCTTTCTTTTCGCAACAGCTTGAAGATAAAAAGCCTCAAAGAGGGAAATCAGGGAGCTGAAGCAGCAAAAACACTTCTTTGTTTCTGCTGCATCATCTCCCTGCTTTCACTTTTATTTTACAGTTAATGAGTCGGTGCCATTCTCAAGAACTGAAGAAACCATTCATACCCACTTCTAACCACTTGAATAATTTTATTTTGCATTACCTTTTGTACGGCGTCTAAGTCATTTGAATGACCTTTAGTAAAGCGTCTCAGATCTGCCTGTGTTAAAGATTCTCAAATGACCCTGTAGTCAGATCTCCTGCTATTCTGTTACCTGGAGTCCAGCCAGGTATGTTTGTGTGTACGCTCCAGAAATAGTGCCAAGTGTGAGAGGAATGAATGCTGGGAAAGTTCTGAGTATATTTCCTCATCACAATCTTGTTAATGTGAGGTTAAATGGCAACAGTGTTAAGTCATTTTCTTAATTCCTCCACAGTGAAAATACGTTTTGTTACTCTTGTGTTGGTTGTGGGTTATCCCTGAATGAGTTAAACCTTCTTCTTTCTGTGTTATATTACTGGAGGTTATTTGTCACTGTAACCTACCCCAGCGAAGAAGCTCTCCGGGACGCTGTCGGCCCCTCTCCTAACTTGCCCTGCATCAGCATCATTTCTCTGAGAGTTTCAGAAGAGTAAAGGCCAATCGGGGAATTGAAAATTGAAAAAAATGGAAAATTTCAAAGGACACTGGCTGCTCCATTTGAACTTGTTTTCCAAAATTTCCTTTCTGTTTTTCTAACTCCTTAAAAAGACGAGAAGAGGTCAAGATAGATAGATAGATTGAAAATAAAGCTTTAAAGTGAAATGAGAATAAAGGTATTAGATTGTTTTGTCTTCATCTTTTCCTTTCATTTGGTTGGTGTTTTTGGTTTGGCAACCTCTGACCTCTGCACAGGGCTCCCCGCAGTTGCACTGTGAATATTTTACACTAGAGGGCAGCAGGACACTGCCTGATGGCACCATTCGAGCAATTTTGCCCTATTTTCTCAATAGGGCAAGAACACAAAACACGTAATACGGACGCACAGACAAACATATACACATATGCAGATATACATATTGTGTTTGTATGGATAGCTGGTATTTGATTGTGTTGATTTGTCTATTTGGTCATTATTGTTGTGGGGGTGTTTATACCTTCTGGTGGGCGATGACTGGCATGGGTGAGTCCATTCTTGGAGTTGCTGTGGGAACTGGTGCAGGACGTCTTGATCTGAGGATTAAACAAAGAAATATCTCTTTAAAATATACTGTTACATCATATTTTTACAAAAAAAAAATCATCAATCAATAGCAACAAGCATCATGTGTGGCCCTTTTTTAACACTTAGACTTGCTCCTCAGCTCCCAAAATGTTCACACCGATCTGTCTTTTTACCCTCTTTTGTGCAGATAATATCCAGTGTCTTAAAATTTGCTTCTGCATCATATACTTAAGTTTGTAGGGACGGGTGTTTTAGTGTGCTGGTTGTTTACTTCAGCATGGTGAGTGACAGTTTGTTGGTGGCAGACTTGATCTTGTTCTGGGCCTCCAGGTGCGTCATCCCCTCGGTGCTGACCCCATCGATGGCTGAGATGACGTCGCCCTGGGCCAGGCTGCCGCCCACCGCCTTGCTGCCCGGAGTTATCTATGGAGGGGTCAACAGAGCAGGTCACACTACACCGATACCCATGGAAACACACAAGTAACTGAAAAACATATGCAGTTAGACGGTGAAGTTATGCACATGTTACAGATTTGGGGGATATTTAACAAATGCTGGATTAATTCCCGAGGCTGGGTGTGACATAAGAAACTTAAAAATGCAAATTGGAATAATTTGTTCATTCGACTGTTAATTTTTGCGGTGAACTTCAGGTCAAAACAGCATTACTTCTCAGCTGACATGTGACTGAGATGTAGCGCCTTACTCCACATAGTTATTAATGCTGTGTGTGTGCGTGTGTGTGTACAAGCTCAGTAAATAGGCCTTAAAGGTAGAGAAGAGAAAAACTGATTAAGCAAAATAAACTAATCCGTCAGCACTGCAGATAAAGAGCTGGATAACGTCTCTGTGTTAAGTTGATCAACAGAGTGGAACCTCATTTTAATTATGAGTCTAATCGGTCTCCACAGCTGCATACAATGCTGTCTCACACTGAAATAGTTAGAAAAGTGTCAGGATTTCAAGTGTTCAGGACAGGGACAGGAAATGTTGCTCAAACTATATATACAGTCTGTGCATAGTGGTTGAATGGTTAAATCTAAGGAAATAATGTTAACTGTCACCTTTCAAATCAGTTTTTATTTTTTCAGTTGTGAGCCAAATATTGACCTTCAGCTGAATCCTCATTCTCCTGGCTCTGCTACAAAGTGGGACTTTAGAGCTTAAACTACACAGAGAGGAGGTTTAGGTGGACCTGGAGGACTGGGGCATACAGTATTGGGTCTAGGCTTACAGTCAACTCGTTAAAGAGTTAAAAATAAGCAATGCTGTTGATGCCTGCCTGGCTTCACTGTGATTGACCCTCCTGAGCCCCCCTCCATGCCCCAAACACACACACACACACACACACACACACACCTGCTACTGACATTCATACAAGACTTCCTTAATTCTTGATCTTTTTTCTATTTACAATAAGTAACCTCTCTACAATCCACATTTTACCTGCATGATGTTCTCTGTTCTGCTTCATCTTAGACATATTAGTCATTCCGTCCTTGTTCCTCCTGTCAACCTTTCTCCTCCACATCCAACCTCCTTTATTGTCAGCTTTTGTGTATTTTTCTCCCTTTGAATTCCAGTTATTATGCCAGTGTGTGTAGATGTGTGTGTGTGTGTAAAAAGTAAGAGTTACAATAGGTGGCAGGAGGCAGAAAAATATTTCTGCACGGCTGTCTCAGTGTAATCAAACACACATGTAGACACACAACACTGCCTGGCCACTCTGTCGTGCATGTTTTCATATGCATCAAACGCTTCAAATATATAACAGATGACAAACAGGAAATGTATATGAAGACGGATTCCTTGAAAATTGGATATTAATGAAAGAGCAAAGCTGTCTTGGATTATTATATGGAGTTTCATGTGTTCTATATCAATCTGTTTTCCTTCATTTAACCTCAAGGCAGCATGTAAATAGATTTAAGCGTCATGAATGATACATATTGAGGCACTATTTCACCCCTTTTCATACTTTTTAACTATAACACTCATATAAAATCACAAGAACTGCAGAAAAACTGTTTTGTGTATCATATACTTAATGACCAGTGCTTTAGCTTGGCCAACAAGACGTAATGAATCCACTATCTTCATCCCTCTTTCCTTTCTCAGCTAGAGCAGGCCGAAATCTAAACCGTGGCGGTGTTACGTCAAACTGTAATGGCACCCAGACTAGTTGTCACGTAAAGCTGCAATGTTTTATGTTAACCTGTCAGAGCCCAACGTGACCACAGGATGAACACAAATCCAATGATACAATGTCACACCGGACACGGATCAAAGCTCCCCCTGGTAGCCTAAGACTGGGATCAGAAGACAATAAACTAACAGATGTGTGAAGTCTGTGAATCAATATAACGCAGCTGAACATCAATCAGGACTGAAGAATGAGGAGCTGGAGGTGGGAGGGGGCACAGTTAATGTCCACACAGGTAAGCTTCATCTACTCTACCTTCTTCCATTCCTCTCTCTCACATCACCTGAATCTATCAAACCCTCCATCCATCTGCTCCCTCACTGCGTCCCCTCAGGGGCAGCTCCAAACGGTGAAACTGAAACTGAGTATAAGCAAGGAATGAAGCTTACTAAAGGTAACACAAGCTGGCCATTAGCTTCCTTGCTCTCCTCGCTTCTTTCCTGTCCCATTCCCAGCTCTCCCTCACCATCCATCCATCCACCTCTCCTCCAGTGCTATTTAAAGGAAACGCTGTAAATACACCAGCAGTCCTGCCAGAGAGGGGGAGAGAGAGACATCCAGTCGCTCTGCTACAGAAGTTAAAACAAATTAATTTGCTTTTTTGAAGAGCGACACTTAATTTTCCCCACATTTTCTTAAATTCTACTATTATATTCTGTCATTTGTAGTAGAAACAAGTCTTGAACTTGAACTATTGTAGTCAATGTGATGTCATTTTTGGAATTATGTCAGTAGAAAGAAATTTGACAGTTAAAATAAGTCAATTAATCATTAAAAACACTCATCGTGAATTGATAAGTTATCATGATTAATCAAGCTGATTATGATCAGCTTAGATTTGGGGGTTTTCTAGACATTTAAGCTCCATGTGATGGAAAAATGAAAACTACCAGCGGTAAAAGTTGACTAATGCAGCTGCACCTCTACTCCAGTAAAAGTATTTCAGTCCTTCCACTGCTGCTCTATTCTAGAAATCTCTCTGGAGATTACATCTGAGCCTCACTGTCATCATCACGTACAGCAACATTACATAACCACTGCTCGGCCACTGCTCACACACAAATTGCACCTGCGCACATGCCTTGACACAGACTTAATGAAGTTTCAACGTGCAACCTGGTCAACCCAGGTGAAAGGGTCATTTTCAAGTGAAGAGGGCAAAAAATTTAAGTTTTCAGACGTGTTAATTATTGGAAGGGCTGTATTTTACATGTCCTTTAATAAACATGCTCCACGTATACTTATTTTATTGTTTATTGTTTACAGAAGTTAGATGTAACCTCCAGGTCTAAAAACCCTTCCTTTCAATCTAATTTGCTTTTTACTGAGACACCTTCACATATTTTCACCTGCAAATCACCACATTGTTGCTTACTTGGATATTCAAGCAGGAAAAAGGGAAAAAGTGAAGCTTTTTGAAGTGCGTGTTTACATTATTTTGCATCGTGTATGTTGTTTTTAAAATTATTTTTGAGTGGATCCATTTGCCAAAGTCAGTCAATCAGTGTACTATAGTCTGTGTAGAAGATGTTTAGTTTCTGTTTGAAATGATTTGTGAACCAGTGCATTGTTTTGTCTCAGCAGACTGACAGTTTGCTATCATTCGTGTGCCACCTTGTCAATGTGACATTGCTTGTTTCGTTATTCGTAAGTCGTTTTGTCACAACCAATGTGGGCCTGTGAGGATGACTCTGTCCTTACCCTGGAGATGGTGAGTGGCATGTTGAAGTCCTTTCCTCCCTGTAGTCTGAAGCCCCATGGAGCAGGGCCATTCAGAGTCACTGTGTACGTACTCATTTTCGGTTAAACACTCCACCTGTTAACAACTCCTGCTGGCTGTGTGGTTTCTCCTCCTGCTCTGTATGCCCTTCTTCTCTGTCCTCCCCTGCTATCCTTTTGTCCCTGTCGGTGCCTCGGTGGTCGCTTCTCTTCCGTCAGCCCTGGCTTCACTACCGTCTCTCCCGTGTCTGCTCCCAGCTCTCAGGACAAACACCCTGGGGTAGTGGTGGTAGTGGTGGTGGGTGGGTGGGTCAGGTGCTGTGGAACCTCTGTGACACACACACACAATTGGAGGGACACACGCACACAGGCATACACAAATACACAGAGAGAGAGAG